ATTATTATTATTATTATTATTATTATTATTATTATGTCACGGAGATAAGATGAGAGCTTTCAGTGATCCTCAGACACGATTTCTCTTCTGGATTAGCAGCAAGATCAACAAAGCGATGTTGGATACCATCTATGTATCCTTCTTCCTGGGTGTTCTGATTTTTTGCAGGATGCTGATTATAGTATTATATTTTAGTATAACGACTTAGAATTTCTGAATTTTGTGCCAATATAGTGCCGTTAGTTCTAATGTTTGGAGACCCGTTGTGTTCACTCTCTCGACTTTATCGGGACTCAGCCAGTACCTCATTGAGTGGAACCAGCGTCAAACGGGACGGAACGGGGATCACGTGGTGATCTGTACAGTGATCACGTGGTGATGTGTACAGTGATCACGTGGTGATGTGTACAGTGATCACGTGATGGTGTGTGCTGTGATCACGTGATGGTGTGAACAGTGATCACGTGATGGTGTGTACAGTGATGACGTGATGATGTGTGCGTCAATGACGCTAATTTTTTCTGACCTGGGATTATCACTTATATACAGTGGAGTCTACTTAAACCGAAATCTTCGCCTTCGCCAGATCTTCTTCGGTTTAACAGGGTTTGCGGTTTAAGTAGTTATACATGGACCTTTAATCTGGGTAAATAGCCTATGATTTACTCCCAACTCTATCAGAGAACTCAATCCCTGAAAACTTTAAGTCTGAAAGTTGTTCGCTTGGTAACCGTTTTTGTCTGTACCGAGTATATGTCGTAAAGGATATTGTGTATTTAAAGATGGTTTGTAGTTTCATGTAACCCGAGGAGCCTTTGATAACAATAACGTCATGTATGTGACTACTATTTATTGACACCGCGCTGTCGTGGCTGTTTATTTCTACAGTATTGGTAATAAGATGTCGTTGCCTCTCATGTTATGAGATGTGATTTCTGTTATGATGCTATATAATTAAGTTTCAGATTTGCCCATAGATTTGTATTATAATATCTCAAACTGTACACTCAGACGTACGAAATTCTGGTTCATCATGCAGCGCACCGTTTGAGTCTAACTCTAACTGAAACAAAATGGAAGGCGCAAGAAGGGACAGGCTGCGATCCCATAGGGCGTACCATTTGAGTCTGACTAACTGAAACAACATGGCGTGGAAGAATGGAAAGGCTTGATGTGATCCCAAGGGGCACAGCATTTGACTTTAATTGAAACAAAATGAAGACAAGATTAGATAAGATATCACCTGACACATTTGTTCTGTACAATAAAGCTATGTTACTCTGTTCGCAAAGTCCGCACTTTTTCGAAGAAGGCGCCACCGAATTTTGAGGACAGTTTTTTAATTGGCTCAAAGTGAGGGGTGAACCATCTTGTTATACAGGATCTTTGATTCCACTTTTCAAAAACGGGAGTGCCCGTTGTTCAGTCTAAGTTCAACAAAGCTGCTTAAAAAATGTTAACGGGAATCCTCATAGCATATTATTTCGCTGTACTGGATGGCAGTAGAGTGTGAATCACGTCATAGTGTCATGCTTTACCTCTTCGTGTATTTATTTTCTATATAAGGTTCAACATTGCTTTATTATTGGTGTGTTCAGTTCTTTCTTTCTCGTGGGTGTTTTTTTAAAGTCCAGATGGAATATTCAGTCAGCCCTATTGTTTTACTGAAGTGTAATATTCTAATTTGAAGACAAGCATTATCGAAATGTGTGTTGCTTTGAGTTTTCTGTTATTTGTTGTTTGGTTATAAATTAATAATATAAATATCTGCGAATTTATTTTGAACGAAACTAGAAAACTCAGTTAAATTATGTCAAATTCTATTACCAATATGGTTTTTTTTCTTTTCTTTTCTCTCTCTCTCTCTCTCTCTCTCTCTCTCTCTCTCTCTCTCTCTCTCTCTTAGTGCCTTTTCCATTAATCTCTGTTCCCATAATATTATTATTTTCACTTCTTCTTTCACTTCCTAATTATAATTCAACCTTCTGCCTCTAGTTCTTGGAATCCGTTCACCACGCCCCTTACATAGAGTCTCTCTTTCTGAGACTGTCAACCACAATGCCTAATTAATGTCTTGCGATGCGGTGAAATCAGGCGCTCGTCAAATTGGTGAGCACGTGGAGTTATTGGTATCACTTCAAATCTTGTTCGTTTGTCGTGCTTTTCTTGAAAAAATAAGACCGACTAATCTTCGATAGAAATAGAGATGTTTGCGATTGAAAGAGGAAGAGGTCGCTTGGTGTCAGAGATCAAATTAGCAAGAAACTGGACGCCAAAGTTAGGTTACTTCCAAACTTTGAGTACCCTATGATACTGTAAATGTACATTTTGTGTGCTTTTAATGAACGGGG